GAAAAACGGGAATTTCCCGGGAATTCCGGGAATTCTGGGAATGTCTGGGGAATTTGGGAATTTGGGGGATTTTTTTTATATTTTTTTAGGATTTTTTTTGGAGTTTTTTTGGGATTTTTAAGGAATTTTAAGTGGATTTTTGTTTAATTTTGGGGATTTTTTTTGAGGGTTTCTTGGAAATTTTTGGGAATTTTTTTGGGAATTTTTAGGGGATTTTCAGGGAATTTTTTGTGGATTTTTTGTGGATTTTCTTGGGAAGTTTTAAGAGAATTTTTTGGAATTTTTTGGGGATTTTTTTGTTCTTTTTTAGGGCATTTTTGGGGTTATTTTTGGTGTTTCTGGGGAATTCTTTGGGAACCTGAATCGCTGCATCGCCGACATCGTCTCCGTACGGGCGGGAAAACGGGAATTTCCCGGGAATTCCGGGAATTCTGGGAATGTCTGGGGAATTTGGGAATTTGGGGGATTTTTTTAATATTTTTTAGGATTTTTTTTGGAGTTTTTTTGGGATTTTTAAGGAATTTTAAGTGGATTTTTGTTTAATTTTGGGGATTTTTTTGAGGGTTTCTTGGAAATTTTTGGGAATTTTTTGGGAATTTTTAGGGGATTTTCAGGGAATTTTTTGTGGATTTTTTTGGAAGTTTTAACAGAATTTTTTGGAATTTTTTGGGGTTTTTTTTGTTCTTTTTTAGGGCATTTTTGGGGTTATTTTTGGTGTTTCTGGGGAATTCTTTGGGAACCTGAATCGCTGCATCGCCGACATCGTCTCCGTACGGGCGGGAAAACGGGAATTTCCCGGGAATTCCGGGAATTCTGGGAATGTCTGGGGAATTTGGGAATTTGGGGGATTTTTAAAAAATTTTTTGGGATTTTTTTTGGAGTTTTTTGGGGAATTTTAGTGAATTTTAAGGGGATTTTTCTTTAATTTTTGGGATATTTTTGAGGGTTTCTTGGGAAATTTTTGGGAATTTTTTTGGGAATTTTTTGGGGATTTTCAGGGAATTTTGGGGGGATTTTTTGAGGATTTTTTTGGTTTCTTGTGAGGAAGTTTTGAGATTTTTGGAGTGACTTTTTGAGAATTTTGGGGGATTTTTTTTGGTTTTTTTGGAGTTTTTTTGAGGATTTTTTGGGGGTTTTTTTTTTAATTTTTGTAATTTTGGGGGGATTTTTTTGTGAATTTTTTGTGGATTTGGGGGGAATTTTTTTTTTATTTTGGGGGAATTTTTCTGGAATTTTTTTGGGATTTTTAGGGAATATTTTGGGATTTTTGTGGGGATTTTTGGGAAATTTTGGGGAATTTCTTGGGGAGTTTTAAGAGAATTTTTTGGGATTTTTTTGGGATTTTTTTGTTCTTTTTTAGGGCATTTTTGGGGTTATTTTTGGTGTTTCTGGGGAATTCTTTGGGAACCTGAATCGCTGCATCGCCGACATCGTCTCCGTACGGGCGGGAAAACGGGAATTTCCCGGGAATTCCGGGAATTCTGGGAATGTCTGGGGAATTTGGGAATTTGGGGGATTTTTAAAAAAATTTTTAGGATTTTTTTTGGAGTTTTTTTGGGATTTTTAAGGAATTTTAAGTGGATTTTTGTTTAATTTTTGGGATATTTTTTGAGGGTTTCTTGGAAATTTTTGGGAATTTTTAGGGAATTTTTAGGGGATTTTCAGGGAATTTTTTGTGGATTTTTTGTGGATTTTCTTGGGAAGTTTTAAGAGAATTTTTTGGAATTTTT